AATATGGTGAGAATGTAAAAGAATACAATGGAACAAAAAAATAATAAAAAAAATCGTATATTAATTTATCAATAAGACATAAACATGAGACATAAATGGACAATGTTCTAAACACCATCAACGTTGAAATGTAGCAAATAACTCCAAGACTGAAATGAAAGTAATGCACCAGTCTTACACATGAATTTGAATGTGGTTAAAGAAAACCACGAAAGTGCAATCAGATATTCGACACTCCATTCATGATAGTTTCTTAAAATTTTTTATGGTCAGGTGTCATCGATGATAAGAACTTTTCAAGTTCAGCATGCATTTCAGAGACGTCATAATCCACTTCATCAAGTATTAACCTATTCTCTGTGTCGTCTAGCGTTGACGTTTTCGGTACATGCATAGATGCATAATTACGTAAACTCTTACCATTGCTCTGCAGTATTTCTCAATCTCAATGATGGCATAATTCTTCAAGCTATCTTCCGATAAGGTTAACGTTGTACAAATTATAAATAATGCTATGTAATACCATGAATGTGAATTATTTAAACATACAAATAATAATTATATCGTTTCGACAATCAACGTGTATGAATTATTGTTTTTCAATTAGATATATACTTGGATTATTATGATGCTTTTGGTGTCTGTAAATTATGTTAGCAGATAACTCCTACCAATATTTTTCCCATACATACTCAGGCCTTCTCAAATTATCCGCCAATAAAAGAATAGCGAACAGTAATCTTGTGCAGTGTGCGCTCGGCCATCTGCTTACTTCCTTTATACCGTTAATGTACTCGCTGTCATACTGCAACAAACCCAATACGTAGCATGCGCCCCTAAAGTTATCGTAGACCTTCATATTCACAGTTCCTGAGTTCTTCATAGCTACTGTAACCAACTTGAATAAAGCAATAACCTTAGATAGTAGTCTTCTCATAAATTTGTGCAATCATAATGTCCATCGCTGCAAAATAATAACGAAAGTTAAAGTGATAAATATGTAAAGGATACATAAAATATTACTAAGCAATATTACAATGGTTGATAAAATACATTTAGGATAAAATGCGAATTGAATTATAAGTAGTAAAAGGATTACTATAGAAAAAAATAGATAATTATTAAACACTGGCCCTATGGGATCTATTTTTTGACATAATTTAAATTGTTACATTGATACTAAATCTGCAAAACATAAATAAAAGAAATATTGTTACAACTATATGCCCTGAAATTAAAATATAAAATTAACAGATTCGTCAGGTTAACAACATCGACAAGATACAGTAAAACATAGACATTGCGAACATGAAAATATCATTTTTGAAAATAAATACAATAACGATTTAAATAAGATATTAAGTATTTTCTACTTATATAGAACGCTCTTCAATAAAAAAAACATCAACAAATGACATGGGTTACTTATGCATCACGGTCGGATTCTCCTGTCAATATTGATTTTGACAACCCTTTGTAAACTGAATCGCTTAAATCCTCCTGAAATCATGAACTAATGAACGTATACATTAATTGTCATGGTTTATGTCTAAAACGAATTAAATGGCCGAGTTAAAAAATGAATATAAAAAAACATAAACGCGAAACCCAAAGAACACCATTAACCAAAAGAAAATAAAAAATTGTTACATATACACATACATTTTAACGAATAACACAATAAATTAAAAAAAAATTAAAAACATATAACGTGGTCCGAATGAACACATCGAAAAAGTAAGAAATGTTATGCAAAATAGAAAGACGAGAAAAAAAAAATTAGGATGACCCTTGGTCTGGTGTGATTATAACAAAAGGTTGGCAAGAAGAATGA